GAATTTGATGGGGAAAATGCCTCCCATGTACCAATCCCTCTTACTCTCCAACGAATTTGTACGGATTTGATGGGGGGGAAATGGGCATCATCCATGCTCACCTTCATTTAGTGAGTCCCCCTTAAGATGCAACGTCCTCTCCACCTTTTCTCTTAGAGACACTCACCGCCAGCATGCTCTTTCGGTAGTTGCACATGGGCCGCCGCCCGACAACCTGCACCCTGGCACGAGAACACCCCCACGATCAGTAGCCGGCAACAATGCATCCAATTTGAAAGGCAAAATCATATGAGGTTTATACGAAATTGTTTCAATAGTTTTGCATCTTCACAAGTTTCCGGATGGGTTATAATCCCTCCATCTCAAAATAAGTGTCTCAACTTTAGTCAAATATATGAGGTTTCTCAATTCTCCTTTGCATACTAGTAGTAGTATGCAATTGTAGACATAAGAGCATTAGCATAGCAAGTTGCACATATGACATGCATCTGGACAAGGCCCCTTATTCAAACCATAGAGACAATTGATCAAGCATATAGTGTGCACTCATAAAAAGTTACAAGGAATAGCCGTGCTCACACCTTGGAGATGAACCAGGATTGTAGAAGGTTTTTTCTCACAGCACATGATGTGCACTAGATTGAATGGGGGATGCCATCATGTCGATGAAGGTGTTCTTCGCTGCCGGCTCGTTGTGCGACCCCGCCGGCAGGCGAGCTCCAGCCCTACCAACGCATGCAATCCAAGGCTGCTATCTAAAACCTAATTCCAAGTATGACATCAACTTAATTGCAGGCATCTAAAACCTTTAGAAATTGGTCAAACTATGGTCTTGTTAATGTTTCTACTCATGACAATTGGGCAATTGGATAATGTTTTTAGGAAATTGTATGATTGATCAGGTGCAACTATGTTATCTTTTTATTATGTACAAAAAAGATCCAAATTGTGTAGGGAAACCATGGTACCTTATTTTTTGCGTTTTTATTGCTTTTGTTGTGTGGTAGTTCTTCCCAAATCACATCGTGTTATATTTATGGTGCTTTGTAATTTATGGCCTGAAGTTGCTCTATTCTACTTCAAAGTTGCTCTATTCCTAACTAACCCATTTTCACAAGTAGGATGATGCGGATGATGTCTTCGTTCTACAGGAAAGAACCAATCACGTCGTACAACTATGCAACTTCTGATCCATTATTGGGGAACTCTTTATAATATCTTATGCAACTGCGATGACACCCCCCCCCCTCCACACACACACACAATAACTTGTCCAATTTCTAGTACTGTATTCAGGAAACTCTTCATGTCTTTTTGTGCAAATTCCTATCGCAAAAAAGCACTTACAAAAAGATTGTTACTAGGCAACTCCACTCGACAAATAGAAAAACATGGAAAACCGGGACACTTCTAATCCACTCCTAGGCAACTCCTTCTTACATTTTGTGCAACTCTAGTCACAACCCTGGGCACTACCCTCCACCTTCTTCCTCCCCACACACTTTCTCTCCCTTGCCTCGCCGTCCTCCATGTTCGTCTCCCCCCCCCCCAACACCCCTCATATCTCATACCTTGCCGCCCTCCACCTACGTCTCGCCCCCACATGCACACCTTCACAAAATAAGTATCTATATTTTTAGGCAACTACAGTTGTGGACTGAGCAAATCCCTCTATCATGCAATGCAACTCCAGTCGCTTGTACTTTTAGAATTACCTCGTTTGTGCCTTTCTTCGGCCGTTTTGCTTGCCTTGCTTCTTTAACTTCATCAACTTCGTCTCTTGTGCGCTCTTCTACGCCTGTGCCACGGTTTGAATTTCGATTCATTCGACCATGCTTATGTCTAGCGGTGTTGGTTGATGGAGCCGCTGGTTTTTTAATAACAATGTGTTAGAAAGCATGCATGATATGTGAATGAAACGAACAAACAAAAACATCTAATCGAAAAGGATATCTAAAATAACAGGGTACCTCCTGTTGTGTGGGATATGTCAAAAGCAAAAACTGTCTGAAAAATAGCAGCGATTTCTGTGGTGAGGACTAATTTATGGCTGCACTCTATGGCCGCACCAATGGATCCCACCAGCTAGGAAACCTGACCAGTTTCCGAGGCCAAGGAGTTAACTTTGAGACCGATGTGCGTGAAAGACTGAGGCTAACTTGTCGTAGGTCAGCAACGCGGACTGAACGATGAAGGAGGCATTCCATTCTAATGAACTTGCTTGATATATATGAGGGTCACACAACGATACACAATAAGGTGATGCCTTGGTTCTAGGGGGTGTGGCTCCGTTTCATTTTGAGGTAGTAGTGGTGGTCGTCGCAAGACCCACATGTCGCTTGCAGTAGTGTTCATTGTAGAGGTGGTCGCGAGGGACATGATTCCGTACACACCCCGAGCAGAACGGACCCGGGGAACGTAGTCCGTCTCGGCGCCGTTAGATCGGTCGCCCCGGTTCCAGACAACGGTGCCAGTGAACCGTGTGTAGACGGATCTGACGACGAGGTAGCGCTCGGCACTGTATGTGGACGGATCAGACGGTGAGGTAACGCTCGGCACCGTACGTGGACGGATCGGACGGCGAGGTAGCACTCGGCACTGTACGCGGACGGATCGGACGGTGAGGTAACGCTCGGGCACTGTACGCGGACGGATGGTGAGGTAGCGCTCGGCACTGTACGCGGACAAATCGGACGGAGAGGTAGGGCTAGGCACTGTACGCGGACGGATCGGATCGGTCGACAAGGTATTTGACGACGGACGGACAGCGAGATAGGCATCATGAGCAGTCACACACGTTCAAGAAGCAAACTAGCACATGCTAAGTGCTAGACATGAGCAACTTTGCAATCCACGCGTACGTGTTGGCTTAGCTGCTGCTGATGGATGGATGTGTGATGGGTGAGGACGCTGGATGTGATTGCTAGTGATTGCTAGCTACGCATGCATCGCGCGCGGAGAAGTGATCTAGCTATTCTATTCAGCCCGTACGTGGAGGGTGCGCTCGGAAAAACGATCGAGCGCAGCGGCCCTGGCTAGCCGCGTCCAAATTCTTCAGTAATGTCGGTCACATTAGTGAAGCTCTAAAAAAGGTTGCATGGCAGAAATCATGCTTGATGAGATCAAAACAAAATATATCAATAGGTTAACATGTTAGATTCAAGATGAAGTGGGCGGATCAACCTACAGGACCAGATAATCAACGTGTGGGAGCAGAGGCGGAGCTTCGTTGGGGCTAAACCGGGCCGTGGCCCGCCCAGGATTTTTCATGTTATTTTTTATCCTATGCTCCTTTGTAGTGTATTCAGCCCAGTCCACCATAGCGCTTCTCCTCCGCCACCACGTGGTCGCCATCGCCCCGGTCGCCGCTCCGTCGAAGCCTCTGGTCGTCCTCGCCTCTGCCCCTGTTCTGCCCCAGCCGCCTCTGCCTCTGCTCAAGCTCACTGCCATCCCTGGTCGCCGGCCGCCTATGACCAAGTATCCTCTCTCTCACGCGCACGACATGGGGCTCAAGAAAATCAGCGTCGCCGGAGCTCCTTCATCTCCTGCTCTACCTTCTCTCTCGTCGAACTTTCTTTGTATTTCAATTGTAGGATAATTAGTGGATGCTGAGATTTCTGAATACGCTCTTGAGTCTTGACTTCTTAATCTATTTGTGCATATCTATACATACCTCCAGAACACAACATGTCCTGAAATTGTTATGCGTGATTGTTCAGAGAAGATGATTTTTTGTACTAGAAGATGATGTATATTTTACTATTTTTTTAGAAAAGATGAGTATATATCATTGTTGAGGAAATCGTTAACTGATAGTTGCTTGGTTGGCTGGGAAGTAGGGGATTAATAGGCTAATCGGCAAGTTAATCGGTCATTTAATCAATTACTCGGGTGATTAATCAGTTAATTGGCTACTCGGTGACCCTACGAGTAGGGATTAATCGGCAAGTTAACTGGTTAATCGGATGAATTCTTGAACAGGGGTATATATAGAATATGATATACACTTTTCTGAGAAATTTTGTAGGAAGAAGATATTACTCCACTTTGGTGTGTTCAGATCGTGATTGTGTAGTTTGGGCAATTGACATGAATTTTTGTGGTTGATCTATACTTACCATAATGCTCAAATTTGCTTCGTTTTGATAGTGAACTTCTTAAGCCTTAATTCGGAACCAATTGTGTATGAAGATCATCTTGCCTGTAACTTCTTTATTAAACATAGAAGGTGAAATTCAATGAGAACAAAAGGTATGGAATACTGAGTAATGCAATGCCTAAAAAATTGTGCTTTTTCTTTAGCTCAGCCCGCCCAACTTTTTTTTTCAAGCTCCGCCACTGTGTGGGAGGCGGTTGACCGGAGAATGTTTGCAAAATTTGTTAGGCCACGACAGTTGTTCGATGCCAAGCAACGTGTGGGAGGCGGTTGACCGGAGAATGTTTGCAAAATTTGTTAGGCCACGACAATTGTTCGATGCCAAGCAAGTCATTCCCAATGACGAAGACGAGGCAAACCCTGACAGATCGTTGCCCCAATTTCGGTCATCAAAAGGGCAATCCCCTGTTTCATGCGTGGCGGATTGGTGCGGATGCCCCTAAGTCAACAAAAATGCATTTTTCATAATTAAACTCAACATTTAAAAATATGGGAGTTGGCAAAATGGCAGTACATTATTAGTTTGAATATGTGTTTGAAATAATTTGTATTAAAAATGTGTTTAATTTTTTTCGGACTAAAATTATAGAATCCTAGCTGTGAAACACTGATTTCCCTAAAACAAATAGTAAAGTGGGATAGGGAGCACTTTTGCCAGTGTGACAAAAACAAGTGGCAAGCCATGGCAAAGTTGGTCACCAACCACACAGGCCCTATGTGACTACAATCTTGGCGTTACCCCAAAGGCACATGGCCATTTAAGCATCATCAAATCTATGGAAGGATCATACACCAGGGAACGTTTTCATCCCAACAATCAAGAGAGCTAATGAATCCCAACAGGCTAATGCTTAGATTGCCGCGATTTGAAGATGTTCTCCTTGTAGTACTGCAGCTCCATGATGCTCTCTCTGATGTCGTCCAGTGCCCTGTGGTTTTTCTCCTTTCTTGGAGCTTGCTTTCTTTCTGTGAACAGTCAAATCAAATAAAAAAGAGGTAAATACATCAGAGGTCTTAGAACTTGCACATGGCAGTCACTTCGGTGCACAAAGTTGCAAAATACGTGTTTGTGGTCACTAAACTTGTGAGGCCGTTCAAATACAGTCACTCTCACCGTATGTATGCGTATTCGTAATTGCCAGCATGACATGGGCCCGCTGTAAGCTGCTGTAAATGTTCTTGTATGATAGTTTTTTGTAGAAAAGCCCTTAGCTCTTCTTTTATTTACATAGGAAGCCCCTCAAATAAAAAAAACAGTGGAGGGATTTCGATCCCACGACGTATTACTGGGTGGCTCGCTTGGACAACCACCACAACAACAGTACCTAATGATTAATTAGCACGGCAACCTTGTACATCTTATCAACGCAGACTGAAAAAATTTAATGAAGAAATCTATCTAATAACCTGTGCAACCAGCGGGTTCGAACCTATGACATGGTGATTCACTCGCGCATAAGCTAACCACCAGGCAACTGCGACATGTGATGTAGTTTGTGGACAAACAATGTATATGTTTTTTATCACTCTTGTTCTATGTAAATACGTGCCATTTTAAAAATTGTTTAAACATTGTAAAAAAATGTTTGTGTAATTCAAAATATGTTCGTGCATTAAAAAAGCTACACGAACAGTTTTTTGAACTATGCAAACATAATTGTACATTGTGTAAACTGCACGAATA